AAAGCATACATATCCGCCATAGAAGGGTGAGCTGAAAAGCCCATCGTCTGACTATGAACGAGTAATGCTAGAACTGTGAAATCTAGCATGCATCAATTTAACGTTTCCTGCATTTTTAACTGCATTGTTTCATTCCAGCTAAACTAACATGTGACTGTTCAAAATGTAACTAGTAGCGATTTCTCTTGAAAATGGACAGAATTTGGCATCATTGTGTTTTCAAGTACAGATAAAGTTAAAGAATTTAGTCCCCAAAGATGGACATGCTGACATGGTTTTTCTACGTAGGGGTGACGCTTATCTTCATCAACAGTGCACAGTTGAATTTAGTAAGGTATTTGTTCCAAAGCTCTTGAATATGACCCAAGGTCTTGGACGTCCTGCGGCAGTGCCACACCTGAAGAAAACATTTAGCGTGTTCACCCCCATGGTGATGAATAACAGGAGATTGTGTATGCATCAAACAGCGATGCTATTAACATATCCCGCGAGAGAGTTGATAAATTCTTCAAATGACCTTTGCATGGAGAAGGTTTCTTCGTAAACAGTGGGTGCCATATCTTTCAGACACCATATCAAAAGCACACCTGGCTGATTATATTATGGGAAAATCTTAGGCAGATACAAGCTGGTTTCGCCTTGAAAGTTTCCTAACACAGGATGATTGTTGGTTTCTCTTAACCTCAGAGACAAAGGAAAATCAATGCAGTGGAAACCCTCCTCCTCATCTGCTAAAAGAATGTCAGTGTCATTTCACCAGCAGGGAAATTGATGGTTCAATTTTTGGAATGCAAAATGCATCGTGTTCGCCCTCTTCAAAGAGGCAACATCATCAATGGAGAGTACATAAAAGGCTATGAAGATTAAATATCCAGGAAAAATGATGAAAAGGGTCTTGCTTAATCATGAAAATGCTCCAGCGCACAAATCCTTGGTTTTAATAGCTTCGTTGGTTGATCACCCTCCATATTGTCTTCATTTGACTATAATCAGTTTACCAACAGAAAAAAAATAGACTCGTATGGGGACCAGTATCACAGTAATGATGACGTCATATCCGACGAAAAGGATCTTATTTCATCATGAACATCCTCCAGCAGACAAGTCCTGGCTTTCAATGGCTTCTTAGCGTGTTTGTGGCATTGAACTGGTCGATCACTCTCCCTATTCCCCTGATTTCATTATCATCTCTTCCTCAACATAAAAAAGGACTTAGCTGGGGACCAGTATCACAGTGATGATGACATCAGATTTGCTTTCCTTGACAGTTTTTTGACCAGCAGGACGTACAATCATCTTTGGTATATAAAAAAAAGATTGTGATTTATTAATTTAATTTCTGCGGCCTCGTTCCCAATCGCCGTTACATATGACGTCAGGCTAAACAATTTCAAACGTCCATCTTCCCAAAGGAAAGTGCAGTGCAGACAAAGGAAGTCTAACTATCACACAGACATCGGTTCTTGATAATGACTGCGAAAGTCGAAACAAAAAATAAACTTCGGACAGTTTATCCACAACTTTGAGCACGCTATTCAACACATCCGAAAATTGGAAAAATACAATAAAAATTAAAAAAGACAGACCTTGTCAGATCATTTAATCAAACTCGTTTTGATTAATACTAAATACACTATATATATATATATATATATATATATATATATATATATATATATATATCGTAATCAATAATAATATCAATTGATGATTAGTAAGATAAAAATAGAGCCCAATATAAGAACAATACGATATAATAATGAATACAGAATACTTAAAATCCATCATGTCAGTTTATAAATATATTTTGATTGGACTTATATATATATATATATATATATATATATATATATATATATATATATATATATATATATATTAATAATTTTCTGATTATTAGTACAGGGATAAAAAGAGAACTCTAAGAAAAAAGCAATCTAATAATGAATACAGAAAAGAAAAATCCTTTCAGGTATCAGTTTATAAAAATTGTTTCGTTGAATTAACATATATATATATATATATATATATATACACACACACACATATATATTATATATATATTTATATATATATATATATACATTATTTCATGGATCTTTATATATATATATATATATATATATACACACACACACACACACACATATATATATATATATATATATATATATATATATATATATATATATATATTTCATGGACTATATATATATATATATATATATATATATATATATATATATATATATATGTTTTCATTGAGACTTGTTTCATTGAATAATTTAAACAAATTTTGTCTACTTATTTTCAACTGGATCCTTTCATAATCACGGAAAAAAAACTTTTTGGTGTCATTATTAAAGGAAGAAAGAAAATTACCGTGTTGAAACATATTATTTTCTTCCGTGTTTCGGCATTAACACAATTTCATCATCAGGGTGCTGTTTAATTCAAGAAAAATATTGTAATGTTCGTCATGGATTGATAGAGTGTCATTGATTGCTATTTTTTACCCTAGATTATTTCATTTGCAGTGGTGTGCAATAATATGAGTCTATTTTTGAGGTGTATGAAATTTGTTTCGCCTTGAAAAATCCGCTTCATCCGTAATTGCATCAAATTTTTATTACGCCTAGACACTATTGTCTTGACTGTCAATTAGTTGTCCTACGGCCGTTATCTGAGATGGACGTTACTCGAAGGAAGTATTTACTGGCAAGTGAGCAAATCAAAGTATTATAAACTAGCCCGGCAACTCTCCTGATTTAAATCCAATCGAGAATTGGAACGACACATGAAGCATTAATATGTGCACTGGAAAAAAAAGTAAATAATAACAGAATTTTTTGTTTGTTTCAATTAATTTGCACATATATCATATATATATATATATATATATATAGAGAGAGAGAGAGAGAGAGAGAGAGAGAGAGAGAGAGAGAGAGAAAGAGAGAGAGAGAAAGAGAGAGTAAAATAAACATTTTTGGCTAAGGTATTTACTCATTTTATATCGATATCAGTAATCGTAGCTTGACAAAATACAAATTTAACTCCCAATTAATGTGACAGGTTATCAATATTTCAATGCCTTATACGAAAAAATGTCGGATGATTAATAAAATAAAACCATTAATAAAAATAACAAAATTGATATTTTGAAAACTGGCTGCAAATTTTCCTATGACAATTAAGTATTAACAGTTAGAAATATTTTTTTCAGAATTAGAAAGAAAGAAAGAAAGAAAGAAAGAAAGAAGAAGGGGATGAAGAAAGAAAGCAAGGAAGGAAGGAAGGAATGAAGAAAGAAAGAAAATAAAAAAAAAGAAAGAAAGAAAAAAAGAAGGAAGGAAGGAAAGAAAGAAGAAAGAAAGAAAAAAGAAAGAAAGAAAGAAAGAAGGGCAAAAACGTTTAAAAACGTAAATGATGAGAAAGAAAATATTTATGGCACAAAATAAAAAGAAGCAAAGCGGCAGAAAAAATAAAGGAGTGAGAAGGAGTGAAGGATAAAGGAAAGAAGGAGAGGGGAGAGAAAAAAGGAAAGAAATATGTAAAGCATTAAGGAAGGTAGAAATGGAGACAAGAAGGAAAAAAATGAGAAAGGAAGAATGTTTGGTAAGATGAAAGGAAAGAAAGTGGGAGAATGGAAAAGGAAAAAAAAAGAAGGGCAACAGAAAGGGAAGAAGTACGGAAACAAATAAAGAAGGAAAAATGAGGGAAAGAAGAAAGGTTGGCGGGAAGAAAGAAAGAATAGAGGAAAGAAATTCGAAGGAATGAAAGATAAAAAGAAAGAAGGAAGGAAAATCGAACAAAATGGAAGAAATAAAGAAATGAATCCGAATGAAGGAAAGAAAAAAGAAGTACAGCCGGAAAAGAAAACAAAAAGAAAGAAAGCAATCTGAACAAATGAAAATCAAGTTGTCCATTTTTATTTAAAAGAAAGAAGGAATAAGATAAAAACATAAAATCTAAGAAATTGATAAGAAAGAGAGGAAGGAAGGAAGGAAGGAAGGAAGGAAGGAAGGAAGGAAGGAAGGAAGGAATAAAAGTATAAATACAGGAAGAAAGAAAGGAATAAAAGAAGAAAGAAAGAAAATGGTGAAAAGAACATAGGGAATAAAAATTAGAAAACTTATTTAACAGAGAAAAAAGAAAGAAAGAAAAATAGAAAGAAAGATAGAAAGAAAGAAAAAAGAAAGAAATAAAGAAAAAACTGTAAGAAAGAAAGGAAGGCGACAAGAAAAATATAGAAAGAATGTAAGAAAGAAAGAAAGGGAGATAAAAGAAAGAAAGAAATAAGAAAAAAAGAAAGAAAGAAAGAAGAAAGAAAATTAGAAAGAAAGATAGAAAGAAAGCAAGGAAAGAAGGACGGAAGAGAAAAGAAAGAAAGAAAGAAAAAAGAAAGAAAGAAAGAAAAATAAACAAAGAAATCCAGAAAAAAAGGAAGAAAAACACAAAGGAACAAAGGAATGAAGAAAGAAAGAAAGAAAAATAAAGAAAGAATGTAAGAAAGGAAAAGAGAAAGAAAGGAAGTAGGGAAAAGGAAGAAACAAAGAAAGAAAGAAAGAAAGAAAAAAGAAAGAAAGAAAGAAAAAAGAAAGAAAGAAAAAAAAAAAGAAAAATGGCCAGAAATAATAATGAAAAGAAGCTACATTGATAAAAAAAAATAGAAATAATAGTTAACTCAATAAAAAAAGGATGAATTATTTATTATTTTATTGAACAGCTTTGAATTTGATTCATCTTCTGCAAACGTTGTCCAGTTAACTTGCCAAAGGGCGGGAAATCGAAGACGGTGAAAGGAGCCGCGAAATAAAGAAGTTAAATAAAAATTATATTGACAAAAAAAACAAGATAAAAAATCAAAAAAAAAAAAATCGAAGAAAACTGAAAATAATATAGAATAAAAGAAAACAAACCATTACAGGGTTCAACCGACGAAAAATGAAAGGAGAAAAATAGCGGGGGCGTGGTGAAGAAATGGACGAATAAGTGAAGTTATGTTTCTGTGACGATATTCTTTTTGGCCTTAACTCGACTTTTTCCGGCCGCCATTCTTTTTCCGCCTTCGTTTCTTCTTACTTATAAACGTCTTCGCTTGCATTAATTTACGACAGGGTCCTACACCTTGCAGATACATCACCACATCTAGATACGAGGCCTTAACAACCGGCTCATAAATACTTACAAAATGTTCCCTCATCCCACATTTTTTCACGTCATTTTCTTTTATTCTCCTTTTTTTTCATTATTTTATTTTTCTTCAGCTTCTCTTTCTATTTGGTTGGTTTTTTTTGGCTTTACTTAATTTTTCATTCTTTCTTGTCTTTCTTTTGCTTCTTCGTATTTTTTTTTAATAGTTTCAATCGAGTTGATATTCAATCGCTTCATTCCTTCCTTCTTTCTTTCTTCCTTTTTTTTCTTTCTTTCTTTCTAGTTGTTAGACTTTTTTCCATATTTCGTTCTTTCGTTAACATCTTCCTTCCTTCCTTCCTTCCTTCCTTTCTTTCTTTTCTTATTTTTTCTCTAGTTGATAGATTTTCTGTCCATACTTGGGTCCTTCTTTCCTTACTTCCTTCCTTACTTCCTCCTTTTCTTTCTTTCTTTCTTTCTTTCTTTCTTTCTTTCTTTCTTTGTAGTTGATAAGCATTCTTTCAGTACTTCCTTCCTTTGTTCACGTCTTCCTTTCTTCCTTCTTCCCCTTCTTTCTTTACTTCCTTCCTCTCCTTCTTTCTTTCTTTCTTTCTTTCTTTCTTTCTTTCTACTTGATAGTCTTTCTTTCTTTTTTTTTAGTCCGTTCATTCGTTCCTTCCTTCATTTTCCCTTCTCTTATTTAAGGTTAAAAATAATTTTTGAATGATATTCCTTCGTTGATTCTTTCTTTCCTTTCAACCTATCCATCTTTCTTTCCTTACATTCAGGTTATTTTTTTTCTTTTTGGTTTCTTTCTTTCTTTTCTTTCTTTCTTTCTTTCTTTCTACAAAGAGATTGATTTCCTTTCTTTGTTTCCTTTGTATTGAGCTTTCTTTCTTTCTTTCTTTGTTTTCTTTGTACTGAGCTTTCTTTCGTTCTTTCTTTCTTTCTTTCTTTCTTTCTTTCTTTCTTTCTTTGTTTCTCTGTTATTAACTTATCACCAGCCTTTGTGCCTTTTCACCTCTTGCCCCTCCTTTTACTTCATGAATTATTCCCTCTCTCTCTCCAGCTCATTTTCATCCTTTAGCCCCCCGCTTTCTCCTACTCCACCCGCTGCTGCTCTTCTTCTTCTTTCTTCTTCTTCTTCTTCTTCTTCTTCTTCAATCTTCTGATCTTTTCGCGCCAGATATCTCGTAAATTCACCTCCACCTGGTACATACATTTATCTCTCGCAAATAACCGGATTCCAGCTTCTTTTTTTTGCTTTTGCAGCCAAATGAATAGATAAAATAAGATAGAATAAATATTACCCCTACCTTCCATTAAAAAAAAGATGGCGGAAAGAGTGAAAGAGAGAAAGAGAGAGAGAAGGGGGAGACGCAAACAAAGCATTGCAAAACACGGCAGCGTGTAAAGAATGCTTTCGTAAATGCGTTTACAATACAGCATCGTCCATTCGCTTTCCTAAATTGCAACAGCCTGATTTATTGCCTACACAAAAGAGAACAAAGATGCGCGCCGTTTGATGAATGTGAATGCAGACCTGCTTTTCTCTATCTACGGAGGGCCCCAAAAGTATGACCACGATTTTGATTTACACCCGAGGTGTGTCAGCAGGTATCACGGTACCTCCGCGTGTGTGCGGACGTGTGTTTCGGTAAGTTGATCTGTGAATATGCATTATTTGTGAGGTTTCACTGGCTCAGAACCGTGAGAGGAATTTGGCACAGATGCAAACCTACGTGATAGCAAGACAACCGGCTATCTATCTATCTATCTATCTATCTATCTATCTATCTATCTATCTCATTCTGTTCATATCTATCTATCTATCTATCTATCTATCTATCTATCTCAGTCTGTTCATGTCTGTCTGTTTATCTATTTTTCAGGACTTATTGAGGGCAAAGCGTAGGAGGCGGCGGTGGATCACCTACTGCTTTGTGTGATTGAATAGGCGTAGAAAAATGTTACTAAGTGCAAAAAGGACAAGAAGCTGTGGAGAGCTATGTTCGCTCGCATCTTGAAAGAATACGTCATGTAGAAGAAAAAAGACATTTATATTAAAAATAAACAGTTCAGAATTTTGCATATGATTTTCTATCTATCTATCTATCTATCTATCTATCTATCTATCTAATTCTGTTCATTATCTATCTCATTCTGTTCATATCTATCTATCTATCTATCTATCTATCTATCTATCTATCTATTTTTCCACACACGCGTGTATTTTAGCTTTGTTATATCTTTCTGAGTAACAATCTATTTATCTTAATCTAAAAGGCGGTCTTTAAAATGCTATTTTTATGAGAACACAATTGGTAAACGAAATCTCCAATGGGGCAAAATCACCTTTCCTTGAAGGAGGTTTCAAATGACTGAAGAAACATATAATTCATTTCTGTGCTTTCGAAATCATAAATTCTAAAAATGTTTAGTGTCGCCGTCATAGGATTTCTGCCTAGATATTCCTGAATTTTAAGATTCGAATAAGAATCTTAAAACCTCTGGGATACATGTGGATTGGAAGGAAAAAGATTGCTTCCTGCCAAAATGCTTGATGTAGTCTTGTTTGTTTGTTTAGCGGCATAACAACTTCTTCTGAGTCATTTAATGCCGACATCTAATCTTCTTGGGAGTATTAGTAATTTCTTTGTCAAAAATATATTGCAGTTTTTTTTTTTTACTATGAAAATGTATTGCTGGTACTTTTACTATAAAAAATGTATTTTTATAGTTTCATAGTATTACTTTTTGTCCATATTTTGGATCCAAACAGTTGCTACCACCCCAAGTCAGAGTAGGCCTGGGTGCAACAACAATTAAGAGTTGGTCCCACTATCCTCAAAACTTTCCGATCAGAGGCCTTGATGCCGGATGGAGTATATCGTCCTACCCAGGACGGTGCAGTCTCACACTTCTCAGTAAAATCACTACTAAACACGTTAAACGTTGAAGACAGACTAGCCACAAATGTATATGAGTAACAAATGTAACGTAGTCTACATGACAACATAGCGCCATTTAGCGCTTTTTATTACGTTTTAAAAACTGTAAGATTTACGGTTTTTGTCACGTTGAAACACCGATTTTCGTCAGATCACCGATGTTAAAAAACATCAAGCCTGGTCAGTACCTAGATAGGTGACCAGTTTGGAATAACAGGCGCTAGGAGCTTTGATGTTCGATGTTCATATGGTGTAATGGACAAAGAACATCACAAACTGAGAAGAACTATAGATGTGCAAAGGCAGAGAAACAATTTGTAAGGAAAGTGATTCTCCAAAAAATCACATGGAAAACTCTCCTTGTCGCAAATCGAACTATTTGTTTTGAATACAAATATCGTTTTTTTTTCTGTGGGATGTGCGGTGGTGTAATGGATAATGGCTCGGCATGAAAAATGAGAGAAGCGAGTTCGAATTCAAATCGGGTTCGTTAAAATCACTTATGCGCAAATACTCTTAGGAAACGTGCTAATGAAATGGACAAAGTCCGAAAATTATTTTAAGACATTTTTCATATTTATACATTCTTTTTTTTTTTTTATAGATACAAATATTTAAGTAAATGCTCTGTTTATAATAAACAGTATTAAACAACATTCACCGGCCTGAATGTCCGATAAATTTTCACAGAAAATATTCATCCTCCGATAGGATTCGAACCTGTATCCTATACGGAACCGTCATTTAGCTTGACGTGCCTTTACCGATTTGGTCACAGAGGCGCGTTCGGTTAGCAAGGTCGAATTTACTGTTTTTAAACTACAATTTTCCATGATTTTCTCACGGTACATTCATATCTGCTCGATGCGTATCCAAATGTAAACAAATGACGTCACGCATTATGAAATGGACAAAGTCCAACAATTATTTTAAGACATTTTTATGTTTATACATTCTTTTTATAGATACAAATATTTAAGTAAATGCTTTGTTTATAACCCATAGTTGCCGGGAAAAGATATGGATTCCTAACTTTCTCAAGGATATTTGCGTGTAAATGAATTTAACGAAAACGACGAGAACTGGAACTCGGGTCTTCAATTTGAAATTCTGATCCGTTATTCATTACACCACCGCACATCCAACCTTACAGCACCTGGTTTTCCAAAGCGGTCACCGATCTAGGTAATGACCAGGCTCAACGTTGCTTATCTTTGGTGCTCGCAAGAAAAGAGTCATCCTACCTGTCAGTAATTGCTGGATTGAATTTTCTCACTGAAGACGCGTGGCAAGCGAAATTCTGGTTTTACACATTCGTGGTTTTACCAATTTCGCCCCAGAGGAGCGTTCGGTTAGCAAGGTAAAAGCACACCAGGCTATATGACGGTTCCTTAAAGGACACAGGTTCGATTCCTGTCGGAGGACGCATATTTTCTATGAAAATTTCTCGGACATTCAGGCTGGTAAATGTTGTTAATACTGTTTATTATAAATAGAGCATTTACTTAAATATTTGTATCTATAAAAAAGAATGTATAAACATAAAAATGTCTTAAAACGTATTAATATAACACTCACCACCCCAGTAATAGCAAGACATTGGATCCCATAGCCTTGTTTCTTCTACAACAGAAAGAAACGGCAACCTACTGTGGGAAAATTTTCTACCTAGTCAGTCATGAATCGAAAAGAGACATAAACGTCAAAGGTCTGCGTGACTGACTCGTTCAGCATTACTCTAAAAATGTCTGTTAATATCATATCTGTCGCTAGTCATTGATGATTATGTGACACTATAGAGTGATTCTTAATATTGGGTTTAAGTTCTACTACCACTGGAAGATGTGGAGAACCGTGATCGGCACATAGTAATAGTATTTTAAGATATGGCTTATATAGCAGGAATTACTGTGTCCTATAGCCTTGGTTGGCAACCAGTCTACCGCAGAAAGAGACGGCAACCTCCTGTGGCAAAATCTTCTGCCTAGTCAGTCATGAATCGAAAGAGACAATTGTTCATATGGCACTTAACTGACTGGCAGAGGTGCCGTGCACCTTCAGGATACGGTCGAAAATGGCTCTCCACAGCTTCCTATCTTTTGTAGCTCTTTGTATTTTTATCATGACTCTCACTGCACATTTCTTCATATATTCTCACAAAATGGTAAATTACGTGGTCAGCTGTCTTTCTCTGTGGCATTTGCTCATATGTTATGAAAGTGCCAAATTTTCAAATTCTAGCAGCCATTTTCGTTTCTACTTTTTTTTTTTAAAAACTTCTTCGTTAATCACATGCTCCGTCCATGGTATTCTCAGCACGAATGTGTAAAACCACAATTTCGCTTGCCACGAGTCTTCCGTGAGAAAATTCAATCCAGCAATTACTGACAGGTAGGATCACTGATATTACATATTACTCCTTTCTTGAGACCACCGAAGATAAGCAACGTTGAGCCTGGTCATTACCTAGATGGGTGACTGCTTGGGAATACCAGGTGCTGTAAGGTTGGATGTGCGGTGGTGTAATGGATAACGGATCAGAATTTCAAATTGGAGAGCCGAGTTCGAGTTCTCGTCGTGTTCGTTAAATTCATTTACACGCAAATATCCTTGAGAAAATTAGGAATTCATCTCTTCTCCCCGAAACTATGGGTTAATTAGTAAGACTTGTATCAATAAATCGTTATTATCTCTAACTTATTCTCACAATCTAAAAATATTTTCTGGCTTTAAATTATAAATGCAAAATTATGTTAAGGCATAAAAAATTGTTTCTAAGCATTTTGCTTAGTTTTAGGAAGGCATCTTTTGTTAGTTCAATACACGTTCGGATTTCGGTGTCATACTTTGTATCCTCTCTTAAAACATTTCCCATTTGCAAATTGTAGTTCGCATCCAAGGCTTGCTGATAACCATAAATTTAATCATCTTACAATAGTTAGTTCTTCCTTTTCTCTTTCCTTTACTATCGAGGAGAACATGAAGTCTTCGTCCTGAATCTGCCAGCAATCACGTACCACCTACATACGTAATATTAAGATTGTACCGTTCTAGTAGGATATCGATCTCCCTTAGGAAAGCTTTATTGTCGGGGTTGAATAAATCGGGAGAGAAGACACAACCTTGCCTTACGCCTCTTTCTGTCCTTGTGTACATACTCAATTCATCAACATTTCTGTTTGGTGAAATGTCGAACGGAGGAGGTATATTTAAATATGAAG